AAAATTTTTAACACAGTTTTGATTGAAAATATCTCGATACCCACTTGATCAAATTCGATGAAATTTTTTTTATTCGACTTCTACAGATCTGTAGAATTCAAATAAAAAAAAGTTCATCGAATTTGGTCAAGTGATTAACAAGATATCTTCAATCAAAGTTTTGGTATAAATATTGGCACAGCTATAGTATGATCTTCTTGTAAATCTAAATCCTCATTGAATACAGTATTTAAATCATCAAGATCTACTGTAATTTAAACGTTATTATTGGTGTTAAGTAATCTTTTCAATAAAGATATAGCTGTAAACATAAATGATATTGTGGCATATTTGCTTCCACCAAGTATTTTTGTGGCATTTGTAAAGGGTTGCAAAATTTTAACTAGATTATCCATTAGCTGCTATTCATTTGGTGTTAATATTATTTGTTTAAGGCGTCGTGCATCTTTCTTGACCACAGAATCATTATTATAACTTAATATTACTTGTATTATTTCGATAGCAGGTTTTAATTTAAAAATTCGAACCCATGCCAAGTATATAGAATCCCATCTTGTTGAAACATCTGCTATTGCTTGTAAATACTCATGATTTTTAATAATATTATTGCACACTATTTGATTTAATAATGCTTGTACAGATTTGAGTTGTTCGCTTTGTTTAGGAGATATAAAAAATTGTATAAGTTACCTTGCTTGTGCAACTAATGTTTTAACTAGTAAAAGGCCTTTGCCTACTACAAGTTGTAATATATATGCACTACATGCAAGTCGATCAACTCCTTTAATTTTATTGATTGCCTTTATCATATTTTTGGTATTGTTTGTAGTCACCATAAACATTTTTCATTAATATCCCAATTCTGAAAAATTGATTTTAAAGTAGTAGCAATTGCAGAACCAGTATGAGATTATTTTAATTTATGAATCAGCAGAGTAATTTCTTTCATTTCAAATTGTGGATCGATAAATGAACATGTGACTCTAATGAATCCTGAATTACAATGTGCTGTCCACAAGTCTGTTATCAATCTACAATACTTCATTGATTCCTTAAACTTACTACGAACAACTGTTGACATCCAATCATAAGCCAAATAAATTTTATTTTTTATTTCTTTATTACTTGGCAATTTGTAAGATAGACTAAGTGCTAATGAATATTTTATAAATTCTAGATTTTCTAACATATAAAATGGCTGTGAATCAGTAACTATGAATTCAACCAAAGCCTTATCGACTTGTTCTTTATAGATAGTATTATCTTTTATTTGATGAGATTTTTCATTGTTTGTTAGTTGAGAAATTTATGATTTGTGTCTTCCAAATTTCATAATTCTATGCTTAGTCTCTTAAGAGACTTGAGTAAGAAAAACAGAAGTGGCAAAGAAATATACGGTGTATCATTAGTACCCAAAGTGGCATAGATTGTGTTTTTGTGTTTTAATATTTTAGTGTTTTAGCATTATAAATATTAAAAATCATTTCTATAAAAGGAAATTATTACCAAATTTAGCAACAAATTTTTTGATTTTGTGTTTTAGTGATTTAGCATTTTAGTGTTTTAGTGATTTAGTGTTTTAGTATTTTAGTGATTTAGTATTTTAGTATTTTAGCATTTTAACGTTTTAGTGTTTTAGTGTTTTAAGGTTTTAGTATTTTAGTGTTTTGGTGTTTTAGTGATTTAAGGTTTTAGCATTTTAGTGTTTTAGTAATTTAAAGTTTTAGTGTTTTAGTATTTTAGTATTTTAGTGATTTAAGGTTTTAGTGTTTTAGTATTTTAGCATTTTGGTGATTTAAGGTTTTAGCATTTTAGTATTTTAGTATTTTAGCATTTTAGTATTTTATTGTTTTTAGGAAATTGTTCTATAATATGTTTAAGCCAGATTATTGAATCAACCAGAATTGCCCCTGAAAGTTCAGATAATGATCTATGCAATTGCCATAGCAGCTGCAGTATATATTTTATTTTATTACTAACATGAATAAATAAAGTTGTCTAATTTTTGATTTGAAAATAGGTTTTCTAATAGTATTTTAATGTTTTAGTATTTTAATATTTTAGTGTTTTAATGTTTTAATGTTTTAGTATTTTAGTATTTTAGTGTTTTAATGTTTTAATGTTTTAGTATTTTAGTATTTTAGCATTTTAATGTTTTAGTATTTTAATATTTTAGTGTTTTAGTGTTTTAATATTTTAAAATGTTTTAAAATTTGTTCTAAATATGATAGTTATTATAGATGCATTATACATAATAATCGAATCAGCCAGAATCACTTCTAGAAGCTCTGGTAATAATCTACATAATTGATAAGTATAGAGATGAGCAAATTTTGTAAGTAATAATGACTTATTACTTATCTCTTACTTAAAATTAAATAATATTAAATAATTATTACATTTAATTATCTATTATGTATATATACAAAATACATGATAAAAGTCAGAGACAGGTAATCAAAATTGAGATTGAACAAAAAAGTGTTATTAATAATAAAATTATTGTAAAATTACTTAATAATACCTCTTGCAAGGTAATATTAAGTATTATTAAATAATAATATGTAAC